TTTTTCCCCCTTATTTGTTATCATAACTTACTTTGTAAAATATGTTAAGTGTTTTTGTTTCTTTTGCCTTTATGTAATGAATTGTTTATCTCTCTTAATTCCTTAAAATGTACAATTAGTGATTAGCAAGCCCTCCTACCCCCTCCTTTTTTAAAGTTTTCTCCACTCAGTTCAGTTTAGGTCCACACTATGATCACAGCCGTTCTCTCAATCAGCATATACACAATACATCAGAACTGCCTAGGAAGTTAGAAAATTCACATGAATTGTCCCCTTCTCTAATCCTAGAGTATTAGGATCTCTGGGGAGTGGTGTCTAAGCATGTGTATGTTTTGAAAGCTCCTTAGGTGATTCTGATGAACCTCTCTGCATAAGAACCATAAAATCCAAACAACTTCTCATGGAAAAGCAATGAAGGCCTTCCAAGATTTGGACCGTGCTATGTATCTATCCTTATTTTTCATCACTTCATGCCTCATATGTCGTGTTTTAACATCTTAAAACCGCTTGCCACTCCTCACAGATACCATGCTCTTATTGATCTCCAGACCTTTACTCATTGTTTCCTTTGCCATGATCGTCTTCTCATTTCTTAAGCTGGCTAACTTACTCATCTCTTAAGACTTAGTTTTGACTTCACCTTGTGTAGCAAACATTCCTCATAATTAGCCCGTGCTGGCTAACATGCCATTACCCTCCGTATTTCTCCCCCCTGCCCCCGCCCCGTTTGTAATGTGTAATCCTATCACTGCATTTGCATTTACCACAGTTATTAAGTACTTGGTTCATGAATTTGTCTCCTCTTCTAAAATATAAGTTCCTCAAGAGCAGATAAATAAAGATGCCTTATTCATTCATTTTTATATGCCTAATGCCTGGCATACGGTAGCCACTCAGTAAATACCTGTTGGAGTAAATTTTTGAATAATATTTTAAACCCAACAAATATTTGTTATTGTTTCTTAAATCCATGTATTAACTCCTATTCCCAGAAGCACTGCATTTACTCAGTTATTTAATTGCTACTTTGAGTAATTCTCTTTCTCCCAATAAGTTGGGACTTGTACTTTTTTTTTGGTGGCTGGCCGGTATGGGGATCTGAGGGACTTGTACTTTTGAAAGATAATTCTGATAGTACTGTACAGATATATTAAATAGGAAAATGGTTGTTAATAATAAAATAATAAAAATTATGAGTAGAGAAATAAGTAACTGAATTAAAGCAGTTTATTTATTTTTTATTGTAGCATAGTTGATTGTACAGATCTGTGGGGTACAGAGTTGAATATCAGTACCTGTGTGCAATATATGATGCTCAAATCGGGATAATTAGTATATTCACCAATATACAATGTAGTCATTTTTCGTGGCCCTTTACCAATTCCTCCCTTACCCCCCCAAAGCCCCTTTCACCTCTGGTAACCTCAGTCTCTTCTCTCCTTTTAAAAGTTCAATGTGTTAATGTGCTTGTTGTATCTTTCTGTCTTTTTTAAAAATTTGTATGTTTATATCTTAGCTCCCACTTATGAGTGAGGA